CTCATATCTTAATTCTTTGCTGAAGGTAGTGAAATACGAATGTTTTCTGCAAATTTCAAGAACATTGCAATTTCTCAAACCTTGTTTTCCAATATCTGGATTCTCAAAACGAAATTTTATTATAGAAAATGAAAGCACCAAGTGTCAACTTTATTTTATATAAAATGGGAAAGAGAGTGATAGTTTTTTAATTGATATAATTACAGGGCCATTTTATGCATAACTTGGCTCTACCTCTTTGGTTTTGAGATACACAAGCATTAGCTCCATTTTATATTTTGAACTGCATTTGAAGAATAATTATAAATTTTGAATACATTTTTTTAAAAACGCTACCTTCAATCAGTATATTTAAACATAGGACGGCGTTAACATAAATAACACTTTTATAATTTTCAGTGATCCAAGTTTCCAGAAGTGGTACAGATATCGGATCTTAATCACATGTACCGAATGCCTGAACAATAAAGAAGTTTGAGAATTAGTCCATTTCTTCACTTTCTTCATCAATGCTAGGGTTATCATCGGAGAAAAGTTATTTATGCCATTCTTTTGAATATAAAAACTCTCCCTGCTTCAAAGTTGTAGATTGTGCACATGTATTTTGTGTGAACGATAGATATACCTGTACAAAAATTTTAGACTGGATTATGATACATAAATATGTTTCTATAGCATACATAAGTAAACGCATACATTTGGCATTTATACATGTAATTTTAACTGCACCTAATGTCTAGTAAATCAAATTGTCAGGTCTTGTAAAATGACTAGCATTGGTGAAAAAAGAGCATGAAAAAGAAAGTCTTAAGCGCGAGAATCACCTGCATTTGATATATGATTTTCATTAGTTGTCTCATTATTGCTGAACATGTGCACTTCCTGATAAAGGTAAACCATCCTTATCTCATCTTTGTGTCAGATGGTAGATAATCTTTTGACTGGTAAGCTGTCCTCGACAATTCATTTGAAAATGGGATGGAAATAACGTTATTTTTACAGGTAAGTTGCTTAAAAAAATCATCCTTGTTAGGTACTAGATATCGCGATCACTTAACGACGTTCGATCCTGATATTTAAAGTCTTAAAAACCTTTAGTATATTTTACGTTTGTACATACATAGCATAATTAAAATTCAAATAAAAAAATAGGGGGTCACTACGTTTCTTTCGGCGCTACAGTACATTATATTCGACCTTCTTGCACTGATATTTGTGTCTTATTATTGATTAAAAATTAAATTTTTGACGTTTTCCCTCCAATATTTTATCAGACACTTAAAATTGTGACTAAGAAAAGTTTCAAATTGCTTTGCATAATCAATTATTTGACCTTTCTGCACTAATAAAAAGTTATTTTTCTGGCATTGAAAATTTAATAAGCAAGAAAATTATTTTAAAGACTTAAGCAAATAGGTCAAATTTATCTTGAATATTTAGAAAAGAATATCAAAAGTGGGGGTGAATGATGATTTTTTTTTTTTAGATATTACTAAATAAAGGTGTCAATTTTTTGTTAAAATTTGCTCAATTTTTTCCCGGATTTTCAGAATATATTGACTATATTTGTCACACTTTGTTGATACAATTCATAAGAAATAATTTGACAGATATTTCAGAGCCAGCATAACACATTTTACTGCCAAAAAAAACAGCTTTAGGTGCAACCAAGATGGAAAAATAGGAATCCGAAGTTAACAGTACTGTTAGAGTTCAAAATGGAAAAACTGATCATTTTCGTCTAAAAAACCTTCCGCCACAAAATATAATCCCTAGCTTAATTCTTCTTGAATGGAATTTAATCGCAGTTTTTTTTTTATTGAATCTGTTATTTGCACCGTAGAATTCAGATTTAATGTTAGAACTTAAAAATGATACAGAATTTTATAAATAAAGGACCTGACCAAAATACTCTCAAAATCTCAGGATCGAACGTCCTAAACTTAGCGGAACTCTTTAGCTATGGAGGTAGGAAACGTCTATTGGATAGGGACAAATATGCTACTGAATACAACATCGATCATTGTAGAATTTATATGACACATAACTTAAACACCTGGCTAAACAATCGCTGAACAAGCGTTATTAATTTTTGTGAGGAGCTAATCCTAAAATGTTATATTTTTTACGATATTTTAAACTTAGTGGGTTTTTACATGTATCATTAATTTCATTGAAATTTGTCACATTTTAAAGCTGATAAAATAACTTGAACTTTCCCTATTTGATAATCTATTATTTGGATTTCAATTCTTGGCAACACATTTTATTTTCGGCATAAAATTGTTCGAATATTCGATTGTCACTACTGTAAACAATTCCATATGCCCCAGTCATCTTGCGAGATTTAGAGTTTTCTCGACTGCCCCGAAAAAGATCGATAATAAGTTAGATAACAGCGAGATAGTGGCGATATTACGTAATATTAACTACGCAAGTGAGCTTAGGGTAAATATGGATATTTTTATGCAAATGAGCTAATAAAAATTCATAAGTTGTATATTTTATGTACAGATAAAGTTCAAATTGATTTTCTTATACATACTGAGTACCCACAGTTTATTTATTAATGCAAGTTCACATTATGACGTCATATTATGACATCATTGTTCTCTCCCATTCAAGGTAATAAATCGCATCAACAAAATCACGTAGGCGCAAGGGCATACCCTATTTAATTAAAAATAAACAATGCATAATAGTATTAAGAATGTTATTAAAATATGTAAAATTGCTGCACAAATCCTATGGACTTTCTCAATCGATAAAAATTTACCAGTGGGGGTCCGGGTTAGAATAGATCCTCAGTACCCCCTTGCTTGTCGTAAAAGGCGACTAAATGGGGCGGTCCTTCGGATGAGACCGTATAAACCGAGGCCCCGTGTCGCAGCAGGTGTGGCACGATAAAGATCCCTCCCTGCTCAATGGCCCTGAGTGCCGAGCAAAGGCCCAAATTTGCAGCCCTTCACCGGCAATGGTGACGTCTCCATATCAGTGAAATATTCTGGAGAGGGACGTTAAACAGTATACAATCAATCAATTGATAAAAATTTTAGGAAACTTACACTGGACTGTGAATTTTTACCCTGTTTAAACTTAAAACTGCACGAATAGTAACTAAACAATTGCAGTGCCGACATTTGTGCAGCAATATCGTAAATCCTTGGAATATTCTGCTTCTTTTTATACATGTACCTTGCTTATGTAAAACAAAGTAAGGTATGCCCTTGCGCCGAAGCGATTTTAGTCATAATATATAATATGTACTGACTATTGCCTGTCGTGGATACCAAGATTGTATAAGAAAACAAGTCTTACCATTTTCTGTGCAGTAGGTAGAGCAATTATAAAATTTAATTAGATATTTTACATACAAACCTCCTTATGTAGCCTTAACTCACTTGCGTATGTTCAATATATAGACAGACTTCGAAATACAGATTATTTCATATTGTACATAAACACGTATGCAGGTCTATATCCTTAAAACTCTCTACCCAGTCTAAAACCGTTTAAAGATTTTTTTTTATTTTGTAGAGCAGGTATATGTATGGGAGTCGGCATGATCGTAGTTCCTAAAGATAAACATATTTCCAGAGGTGAGGCCTTCAATTATACATCTAAATATTCATGGTCAATAAAATAAAAATATCTGTGAGCAATATTTATATAATGAATTTATTCTAAGGAGAGTTAACCATGTTTATACGTTCTATAATCACTATCCAAAGGGGTGATTTTTTAACTGTGGAAGAAAAAATGCCTAACAAATTCAGGTAAAAATTAATGTTATTAAAAATCAATCTGATTGCCATTAAATTGTGTTTATCGACACTCCTACAAAATTGTCTTAAGAAATTATTTATTGATTTAATGGAGATGATGGAAAAAGAGCAAAAAATAGAGTTTGCTATTTATAATTTTCAAGAACCACAAGGCTAGAAATGAAAAAAGCTGACCATTTATTTACATATTCACAATGTAGAACCTCTCTTAACGTGAAACACTTCTTTCGACATGTCAAATACTTTATCACATCAAAAAACCCTCATCATCATTCTAATTTTATTTCTACTTTATTATGATTAATGACAAACATACAACATACATAGGAGTCATTTTGCAAAATAATCATATCAATCGACAACAAAGGGTGAAAATACACATAACGATATAGAAAAAACAAAATATGTCTACACATGTTAAAACCTCCTGACTTAAACATCCTATTCACTTTAATTTACGGTTAAAATTCAACTCATTATCTAAATATCAACCTCGTATTCTGTAAAGCAACTATTATTCGCGTCATCTTACACGAGTTTGCAATGAGTTAGTTTCAAATCAATGCGCGACGATTAATTTCAACGAGTGATAAAACATTCTTCTACAAATACTAAGCAAAATAATTTGTTTGTGACGATTTAAATTCGCCATTTGAAGTAGGTTGCGGAACATGCGGATATTTCTCGCACGCGAATAATACTTAGTTTACAGTAATCTTCTTTGACAGAGTGTTGTAACTGATTTGAATTTAAACATGTAATTGCTTAATGGTAACTAAAACTACAAGTGATCACCACAGGTATGTTACAAATTCTAAACATATCAATCCTCGGACTGATCAATACACACGAATGATACAGGGTATAAATCTATATAAAACTATGATGATAGTGAAACAACAATGACAATACCATCACGCAATGTAATTCCATTGGAAATTGATGTATGAGATTTGTATTACTGTAACATTGCTGGATTTCTAAACTTCATAAAGATCATCGACATATCATCAATTACAAGTAGTTACTTTTGTTCATATTTCGCCTCAAAATATCCAAGCGAGTCAAAGATACCACATATTCGGACAAATATATTTCATACGTAAATATTTTACTAGAAAAGGAAGTCAATGATTATATTACAAACAAATGATGATAAACGTGATGAATTTTCAATCGTCAACTCTAAATACTTATGACCTTGTCAGCACAAATAACCTATCACTGGGTAAGACATTGACTATCGTTTTCAGTACTCGCTGTTAGGCCATTATTCATAGACTAAATAGTCTACGATTTTTACAAGTATATTTTTTTCGATCATGACAATGAGCATGCGGCAGGTGCGACTGGTCGGCAGGTGATGATCACTCCTCAACGGCACCCAACCACTAGATTTTGAGGTCTGAGTCTGCTCTGCTTCTGATTAATAAAGTTTTGATTTGACTTTCGAGATTATATTTGTTATCTTAATATTGCATTGTTTATTGAAATATTCTTATGATCATCACTACACTTATTGGTTGTTAAAACAATCATGTTAATACACAGTTACTGCATGGTTATATTTTATTTTTACACGTATTTGATTTTCTTCACTTTACAACTCATATTCTCGGCCACAAACAGGTTGTCTCTGGTGTCTACACATAAAGACCATGGGTGCTCTAGATCACAGTTATCAATGTAACGGAGGAACTGTCCATCCTGATCTAGGATGTGGACCCTTCGGTTATAATAGTCTGCGATGAGGATCTGACTCTGGCTGTCTGTTGTTATTCCATGAGGATAGAATTCTTCCTCCTCGGTAGTAGAGGGATGACCAGTGTATTTAAATTGGGGTGTTCCTGCCTGATTAACCACCACTACAGCTTGAGCTTCACAATCAGCCACACAGATATCTAGGTTTCTGTTTTCACACATGTATTTAAAGTACCCAGACGAATACAGAGGTTTGCCTTCACGATCAAGCTGAATGGTTTGTTTCACTGTGGAGCCAGAGTAACGGACAACTTTTGATTGTTTATCTTCATCACTGTCCATAGTAACCAGGAGGTCATCAGAGAAGGTACTACAGACATGGTAAGGTCTCCATCCTTGCAGTTTTATCACCTTTTTTATGTGTTCATTCTTCACTCTGTTTACAGTTCTTCTATCAGAGTCGGTATAAACTAGATCTCCACTCCTTGTCACTGCTATGTCACATGGAATTTTCCCTGACTTCGTTTGGATTGACTTCAGTAGTTCTCCCTGCAGGTTAAAGAGTTTCATAATATTTTCTTTCCCACATGTCCAAATTTCTTCATCATTGAGCATGGTAACGCTGCACATTTGCCCATAACCGGTGTCTATGGTGGTGATGAGCTCTGGTTCATCAAGCAGTGGTTTGACTGGAGGACAGGATACAGCTTCTGATGTCTTCATTGTGTAGCCATGTTCTTCTGTTGTAATGGATAATGCTGACAGAGAACCAAACATTTGATGGAGCTGTTCTTTGTTGATCTGATGTGGCGAAAAACTTGGCAATGTAACATTGACCTTAGGGGGTAACCTTCTGAATTCAGCATTCCTTGATTTGTATGCGGAGGTTAGGGAGACATCATTGGTTTCAAGTATTTTCCTCAAATCAAGTATGCTCTGTTTAACATCAAATGCAATCCGTTCGATTTCTTTTTCATGTTTATGTAGAGCAGCCACGTGTTTAGTTTTCATCTCATCAATTTCAGATTTCTGTTTGTTGACAATGATGTTGATTTCTCTTTGTTTGGTGACAGATGTTGTCAGTTGTTTGTAGTGTTTTTCCAAGTTGACTTTTTCAGACTTTAAATGTAACTTAATTTCTTCATATGTAGGACAGATGTCTTTCTCTAGCTCTTTAAGACTTTCTTGCAAATCATTTATTTTTAATCTAAGTAGCTGCAGGATATCAGATAAATCATGTCTTTTATGTTTCCCAGAGGAGATGCAGGTAGAACAGACAGGAATGTCACATTTCTCACAGTAAAGTTCACAATGTTTCTGGGTGTGGTTTGGACATTTTGGGTATTTAGGTGTAGACGTTCTAAGTTTGTATGGTACAACATGGTGTCTTTTTGATGAATCAGAGAGATGTTTTCCAACACAGACTAGACAAAGATTTACATGACAAAGTTCACAATGACTCTGTAATGCAGCTGTTTGACACAGATCACAGAGGGGGATATTCTGGCTATTGTAACGGGGGTCCATCATATGTGTCTCAATCACTTAATACAGGTGGTCCTACAATATTGTATATTAATTTTAATTCGATACAAGAGTTTAAAAATAAAATTAATTAAATTGAATTAAATAAGCTTTAAATTCACAGGTGAAACTGTGTCTTTGATAATTATGTAGTTAGAATAGATCATGCATAGCGACTTCTCCTTAAGGCGTCACTAATTACACATTTATAAATCATCAGAAATATTAAAAGAATGAACATAAAACTATAATAAATAAAACGAAGTTTTACAAAGTTATAGTGTTTTACCATCTTCTGGTGTATAATTGTTAGATTTTGACGTACTTTCAGGTCACAATCATAATTTAAATACACTGTATACCGGCATATAATTGAGGGTTTTGATGTATTTAAGCTTGATATACAATAGTTATACTTTAGAGTTAAACATCCAATATCCTAATCCATCTAAACATTTTGTAGAAATGGTTTCCTTTTCATTTGTTGAAATAAACTTAGCTCAAATTTTATTTTCAATAATATATTTGCATATAAAATAAAAATGTTTGGCATTATTGTAAGTAACAGTGTATTTGAAATATTGCATAAAACGTTCACGATATTATCAATACATTTAATAATAGAGATACACTTGTCTTATTTTGTAAAGGTTCATTAAGATCGATTCACACGAGGGCCGTTCAAAAATTACGCGGACTAGTTGCACAGAAAAAATATTTGACGACATAATCGGGCAAAATGTCACACATAATATAAAAGAATCCTTACTTATATGGTCTTCCAAATTTCATATCAAAATGTTGTAAATTGTTATCAGTTTTGAGTAATTTTTCAGGATATATCATTAAGTCACGGAGCAGCAAAATCTTTGACGTCACAGGCATTATAAAAAATATTTCATTGAGCTTCATTTTCTTAACATTTCCCCAAAAGCACCTGTACAGTTTGAGCTACCTTATCTACTAAACATACAAACACTATTTCTTTTAAAGCTTTAAATCTATTAAACAAGTGACCGATATTCTGTTTTTGTTTTAAAACCAAAAACTGCAGGTATTTATGAGATATAGTGTAATATTGATAACTCTTAATCACGTTCTTTTCAGTCCGGATAAAGTTTTCGTCGATAATCTTCTTCCTGTCTTCCCGTATAGCCTTTTTTACAGAGGTCTAACGGTTTAAAATTTCAATTTGCTATTTGTGGACGATTGTCACGAAAACCCTAGTTTCCTACAAGTTTTATCATGCATATTTTGGATCTATGTTGGCGATGTCTCAAGCATTACAAATAATTTAACAAAAGTGTGGAGCGCCGTCAATTCAGGAGACGCCATTTTAACAGTCGTTTTCACAGGAATCACATCAGAGAAAAATCATTATATTTCTGTAAGTTCTTCAAATATAACTTGTGAATCTAAATACATAATAATGGAACAATTTAAAGATACATTTGAGAAAATTGTGGAAAAATATCACCAATTATAAAAAATTGATGAGTTAAATTTTGGATTCCGCATGCTTTTCCTTCAAATTTTTTGTCGTGCTCAGTACCTTTCCATCAGCAATATCAACATACCGATAATTTTAGTAATGTTTTTAAAAATACAGAAACTTTGCAAAAAATTTATTAGAATCTTTAAGATACATATTTCTGTGTAAGAACTACGAACGATAGTATTGTTCTCCCGCCTACCTCTAAGTCATTCTCAAAAGTTTACATATTCAAATGATTTTCAAAAATTTTAAAGATATTTATATGAATTTTCGTAAAATGTTTCTTATTTGGGATACCAAAGAGAGATAACTTTATAATTTTGGTAAAACTTGTGTTTTTCACTATAAAAATCAACGGAAAACGAAAATGTTTTTTAAAAAATCCCCCCCCCCCCCCCCCCCCCGTGAAACAAAAATTTCCTTTTAACAGGTAATATGGACGGTCATTTTACAAATTTATGCCAAAGCCTTTGTGTTTCACGGGGGGGGGGGGCATATTTTCATAGACAATAAACAAAATAATGCTGATTTTTCAACAAATTTAAAGTTATATACAACTAAATAATTGTATTTTATTAATTAATATATGCTTTAATTATTTGAGTGAAACATTAGAAAAGATATAAGACAGACATTTTATCATATTTAAGACTTTCAAAATATGGTGATTTTTGAAAGTTCGATTTCACTAGAAAATATCGTCTACCCCCCTTTTTCAAGAGCCGGAATTAACGGTAATTTACTATCTAGCTCTGAAATTAAAATGCTTTATCAATTACCATAGAACTGTTCTTTGTATTAAACAAAGATTTAATGGCCACATTGCCATTAATATTGAATTTAATAGGTGCAAAATGTAGGCGGGAATCAAGAGTTAGAGTTCGTAGTTCTTTTATAACTATATAAAGTCTGTAAGAGTAAATAATAGCACAGTCCGCGTTATTTTTGAAAGGCCCTCGTATAGAGTATTTTCCTATATAACATTTTGATTAATTGGCGCTTAAAAAAAACTCTGGTATACCTGTCGCTATTGACTCCAAATACTAACGTTTCAATAAAGCATTGATTTCAAAAAATCTGATGTCCTAAATTTAATAATCTTTTTGTCTTTCATAGCTTTAAAACATTCAAACTTTTGAGGGAAAATTTTGTTAATTCAGACCGATATTATATCACGCTTCAAACGTCTAAACGAAATTATATTGAATATACAAATGTTATCCTAAAGTATTTTTTAACTTCTGCATAGGCCAAGCAATTTTTGACATTTAATGGACAGTATAAATCCGTTTAATTTATTTTTCATACAATCATAATAATATAACTTTATAAGAGAAGAAGAAAACTCACAATATTATGAACAACGTTTACTCAACTTTGAATATAAACATTCAAGAATGCTTCAAGTTATAGAAAAAAAATGTAAATAACAGAAAGGTAGTACTTAAAAAGAAACTTTTACAATTTTATTCCTCAAATATTCATTAAGGTACATGGCTATTTTCAGCATTAAATTTTCTTATAGAATATTTATAATGCAATTTTTTTCAAAAAAAAGGGGGGCGGATGAAATGAGGCTAGGAATTTTGCAAACTTGGAGTCTTAATTAAATCAAGAAATATGTATTTAAAAAATAAAATTTATATAAAAAAATATATTCTTACCTGTTTATTCAATTTTCTCTATCAAGATACTAGTAAGAACATATCTAGCCCCCTTTTGATTTTTGTTTCGACTATCTCTCAGGTCATGTTATTCAAATTTAAATACCTGTATACCAAAGCTATCTTCCATGTAGAAATAATTTACAAAATTATTATTTTAGTTATGTCAACCACGACAACGAAAATTGGCTGTTGTTTCACATTATTTCTTTAAATAATAGTTTCGAGAAACCTTATACATGTAACACCCAGTTAGAACGTTATGTTTTGACAAACAAATGTCTGTTTATTATACCTTGGCACTCCATAGATTTTTGACTGCAAAAGTTTACTACGCAGTTTCTTTATGTTTTGTGTATTTGTTATCAAAATGAATAAATAGATTTTAAAAAATTCCTTAGCAGCATTCATTTACAGAAATCATAAACAATATACATTTTACATTTATTAATTTAATGTATTATTTGGATAAAAGGTTTTCTATCATGATTTAATCTAAGGTTATCTTCAATGGCCGCCATGTTGTAGTGCAACGGGAGAGGAAAATGCAGGAGACCAGAACGGGATTCGAACCCGGTCCACCTGATCTACCAGTCAAGTGTTCTACCGACTGAGCTATTTGGTCACCAGTAATCAAACCAAACTGACCGCCACATTCTTCCATCCTTGAAGGTCTTTGGCCCCCAAATACCCCTGTCCAAGCTCATAATTAAAGTCCTCTCACGAGGCACTACCAAGGCATGCCTAGGCACCAAATGTGACAGAAAAGGCAAAAACGCAGCAGAACAGACTGGGATTGGACTGCCACCCCTTTAATGTAAATGGAGATATGATTGAAGATTTTACCATAAATGCATGGTTAAAAATGATATTTTATGCACAGGAGTTTGCGTACACTATCAATTTTTTCATTTGCCATTTACAATACAAAAATGCATTATACCTATAATTACAACACACGTGACTGCTTTTCTTATGTCTTCGCGATTATACGCCATATATATCTGTGACGTACGGAAAAATGGTCCATTTCAAAAAAGGAATACAGAAAAAATAATCATACACAATTAACTAGAATAAAAAAGATATTACCTATTTTTGCTGCATGTTTAATTTGAAGGTACATGGACACATATTTTTAAATTTTCTTGAATGTCTACTGACCTGTCTCTGGTTTTTAGTTCGCATATGACCTTAATTTTTGGATAGGTTTGATTACCATTTCAGGCAGTTTTGTTCCTTTTATTCTTAATACTTCGGTAAAGTGGCAATCATGTTGTGTATTCATGTAAAATGGTGTCGAGGACAACGGATATTTGAGTGAAGTC